TCAATTGATATAGCGATAAAATGAATAACAACAAATAGATAGATAGATAGATAGATAGATAGATAGATAGATAGATAGATAGATATGAATAGATAATAGATAGGCAGTTGGATAGATAGATAGATAGATAGAGAGAGAGAGAGAGATGAGAGAATAGATAGCCAGATAGATAGATAGATATGAATAGAACATCAGATAGATAGATAGATGAATATAGATAGATAGATAGATAAATAGATAGATATGAACATCTTGATAGATAAATAGATAGATAGATGAATATATGAATAGATAGATAGATAGATAGAATAGATAGATAGATAGAATGATATGAATATCCTGATAGATAGATAGATAGATAGATAGATAGATAGATAGATAGATAGATAGATAGATAATATAGATGATAGATAGATAAATAGATAGATCGATAGATAGATAGATAGATAGATAGAGAGATGAATTATAGAATATCCTGATAGATAGATAAATAGATAGATCTTGATAGATAGATAGATAGATAGAGAGAGATAGATAGATAGATAAGATATCCTGATAGATAGATAGATAGATAGATAGATAGATAGATAGATAGATAGATAGATAGATAGATAGATAGATAGATATGAATATCCTGATAGATAGATAAATAGATAGATCGATAGATAGATAGATAGATAGAGAGTTATGAATATCCTGATAGATAGATAAATAGATAGATAGATAGATAGATAGATAGATATGAACTTTAGCAGACAGTATTCTTCTTTTTCGGACATAACTCCATGTTAATTGTATATTGACTAGTATATTTTCCGCGCAATATTTTTGGAAAATATACCTTCCGGTAAATGATACCATAAACATTGTAAAAACAACGCCAATTTTTCCCTCCACACCTGATTCAATGGTTGTTGTTTTGAGTTTCGCGCCTGCTCGAAGCAAAAGATCATCACACAATAATTAATTTTATGTCCAGCCCATTTTTTCGCAACTTTTACCCGAATATTCAGCACTGCGAAATTCCTCCTGCTGTCGTACAAAATTAATTCGTGACCAAATATACCCGTTTTTCCCTATGGCTGTCAGTTTTATACCCATCGGCACTCTTGTATTCAAATCGGGAGCTCTCCGATCGCACGAAAAACAAATTCCCAGTTTTAACACGTCCCGTATATACCTGCAATGCTAACGTAATGAAGAAAAAGAAAAAATTGCTTTGAGGTGAAAATTTCTTGAACAAGTAATGTTTTACAATAGTCATTATTCTAACAGTTTGAATAGGATTACTTTTAACTTCATTTTTCATTAAATCAAGTATTGTCGACAAATATTATTAAATTTTGACTAGTTTTTACTTTCATCTTCATTTTTTATTAGATGAAGTATTGTCCACAAATATTACGTTTTGACTTGTCAATACTTTCATTTTCATTTTTTATTTGAGCAAGTATTGTCGACAAATATTAAATTTTGACTTGTTTTTTCTTTCATTTTCATTTTTTATTAGATGAAGTATTGTCGACAAATATTACATTTTGACCTGTTAATACTTTCATTTTCATTTTTTATTAGATGAAGTATTGTCGACAAATATTGACTAGTTTTTCTGTCAGCTACATTTTATATTAGATGAAGTATTGCCGACAATTATTGTTACATTTTTGACTAGATATTACTTTCATTTCATTTTTATTAGATGAAATATTATTGACAAATATTTAATTTTTGACTAGTTTTTACTTTCATTTCATTTTTATTAGATGAAATATTGTGAATCAATATTATTAAATTTTGACTAGTTTTTACTTTTATCTTCATTTTTTTATTATTTGTAGCATTGTCGATTATTATTATAATTGACCTGCATTTACTTCCATTTAATTGATTTTTTTGATCGTCTGGAGATTTTAGAATGTGGATTGGGGCCAATTGGTCGTCTACGAAACCCCAAAGTTGAGGGCTGAATATAGCATCAACCATCTAATGGAGAAATTTTATTTGTATTAATTTCTCTCTCTCTCTCTCTCTCTCTCTCTCTCTCTCTATATATATATATATATATATATATATATATATATATATATATATATATATATATATTGTCTATGTTTGCTTCTACATTATTGCACTACAGTGGGGTGAAATATGATTTTTTTCTCTTAGCTTTTTTTCTACGTAAGTGTTACTGGCTATCATTTAAGGCTGGTTTATAATTTTTTGGCATCATTGAAGATGGTTTCATTAGAACAATTGTCAGATAACGTGTGTTAACTGTCGGTGGCTGATTGAAAGAGGTTTATCGTTAAGTTTACTATATATATATATATATATATATATATATATATATATATATATCAGATAAGATCATTCCGAATTCGTCTGGAGGCCGTTTTTGAAGCCAATAGCAATTTTATTGAATAAATTTACTCTTGAGTATTTCAAGATATTTTTGTGTAATTTTGGTAAATATATCTTTTAAAATGAGACGTCAGTGTTATTTTCCTTTTAACATAATTTAGACGACAACTTATCCCTCGCATCCTGTATACACACACACACACACACGCACATGCATATAATGTCGACAATATTTAATTGCTGGTAGTATTTTTTTCTTTCAAAAATGTATTGCCGGTAATAATTTTAAGTATTTTGAACGCATTTGTATGCTTTCAACTACAACTACATAATTTTATACTATCAGGGCAACCGTATGTTTTATAGATATATGTTTTGTAGTTAATCTCTCGCGGATGTAGTTTATCGCCCTAGCCAGGACAGCATGCAGATATGGTTACTACATTAGAAGTTGATGCCCATTTTCATCGGCAGTTCAAAAGATGATCCAAAGTCTGGATGTTCTGCAACAATCAACACCGAAGAAAAGACTGTGTTTTCACCACAAGGTGATCGATGACAGACGATTGGGTATAAATCATAATAGTGATTGCGATTAGCATATCACGTGAGTTGAGACACTAATGCATAATTTACTTAGAAGTATGAAGCTTTTTGCTCGATTGGGTTCATCATTTTGAGTCAGAGACAAAGAGACAATCTCTGCTGTGGAAATGAGTCTGCTCACCGGCTCTAAAGTAGTTCAAGGTCGTTTCATCTGCGGGGAAGGTGATGGGCACAGATTTTTGAGATTCAAAAGACACTGTATTTATTGACTATCTTCAAAAGGACCACTACATCAACAGAGAGTACTAGAGCAACACGTTATTTTAGACTCTACAGCGCAATTTACTTGGAAGTACAAAACTTTTACTCAATGGGTGCCCGACTTCTGTCAACTGATCAAAAGTGAACAGGCTTATATTGTTTGAGGATGATCCAACTGGTTGCTTTGAACTTTCCCTACCTCAGTATAAGTATTGGGTTCATCACTTTGAGCCAGGCCAAGGTCGTTTCATCCGCAGAAAAGGTGAGGTTACAGATTTTTGGGATGCAAAAGGCACTGTACTTATTGACTATCCTCAAGAGGACCACTACATCAAGAGAGAGGACTAGGGCAACATCGCGGGGCATTTACGAGAGACTATTAAGAACAAAGGCACATATTAAATGAAGAAAGGGTTTTAGTTTCATCAGGACAATGCTCCAGCACATAAGTCATTGGCTTCAGTAACTGCTGGGCGTGACACTGGTTTTGAACTGTTTGATCACCCTCCTTATTCTCCTAATTTGACTATCATCAGTTACCCAAAATGAAAAAAAATTTGACTGTAAAACGAGTATAGTAACGATGATGACGCCATATCTACTGTTGATGACACTTTTCACGAATGGAATGAAATGTCTTCTTTGCACTGACAGGTGTCAATTTAACTAGAAATAAACAAATGCCTTAAATCATAAGGAAATATATATATATATATATATATATATATATATATATATATATATATATATATAATAAGAAGAGATCAGTCGACTGCGTGAAACCCGAAAGAAAAAATAAGACATCTAACAGTGTTCCTGCTGTACTTGGATACAATACATTCTCTTGTACTGTTTGTGGCCTTTTGTGCAAATTCTCGAGCCGGTCTCAAAAGTCATGGCCGTCATAGGCATGCAGATAATTAGATCGTGGTCGTCGGAACCTCATACATCGAACTCGATGGAGAGTCCATGATATATATATATATATATATATATATATATATATATATATATATATATATATATATGATGGAATCTCCCACCGAGTTCGATGTATATCTCAAATGATAATGGTAATTCCAAGGACATTAATCTAAAGTAACCTAAGTCTAAGTTACAGAGCAATATAATAATAAGTCAAGAAAATCCTATAAAGTTCACAAATTCACACACACAACCGCACAAACACACACACAAACACACACACATATATATATATATATATATATATATATATATATATATATATATATATATATTATAAATATGGTTTTCCATACTACACAGTTCTAACCATGTTTCAAAAAATGGAAGCTAAAAGCTTCGAATTTAATTTTGTAATTAAATTAAAGACATTAGTTCCATTTCATCCTCAACTGAATTTTGGAGTAACTTTTAAAATTACTGGGTTTTAAAGACACAGCAAAAAATCATAATTCACGTTTCCAAGGATACAGAGAAATCCATTCATCTAGACAAGGGTTGTCTGCGTGTTCATTATCGCTGTATTTTGATGTATCCGTTATTAGTTACATTTTGGTAGGGGTAGGGATGTATTTTTCAATGAATTCTGACATCAGTTAAATGCATGTCGTCTGGATTTTTTTTTAATTTATTTTTAACGGCAAAAATTCTTACTGCATTTTCCTATTTGTATACTTAAATATTTTTTTTTTTGTTGGTGGAGTTAGGTTAGAACAGGGGTTTTCAAACTGTGGTCCGCGGACCACAGGTGGTCCACAAGGACAAGATAGGGGGTCCGTGGACAGCAAACACGTTTTTTATGGGTGACGTGCAACTTATAAGCGCTTATAAGTAACTTATAGGCCGATCATGAAATAAATTGGTTCAATAAACTATTTCATAGATTTGATATACTAATATAATTTGTATCTTAAATTGATAAAGATAATGGATTCTATTCATGCAGAGAAGGAACCAAAGGATTTGAATTTTGGATCTATTTTGCGATTTCCGGCTTTCTTATTGGCTGTTAGGCGTTTGCATTAATGCAAAATTATATGTTATATTCAGCAAATATTTATGTATAAATTTCATAAGCGTTTCTAAGGGGTCCCTAAGGTAAAGCCTGAAATATAAAGGGGTCCGCAAGTCAAAACGTTTGAAAACCCCTGGGTTAGAATACGTAGTTAACTAACTACGATTTTTAAAAGAAATTTCGCTTTTAATTTTTAATATACTATATTTCTTTTTAAAACAAGTAAATGTATTAGAATCACTTACAATGTGTAAAATTATTTTCACATCAAGTATAATATGTATATTATTCTTTATATATATATATATATATATATATATATATATATATATATATATATATTATAAATTAATCGATTTAAAATATGTTTTTTTCGCTACACAGTTGTAACCATGTTTCAAAAATGGAAGCTAATATCTTGCTGTTCTTTCTGTATATTTATACAAACATACACACACACACATATATATATATATATATATATATATATATATGACGTAAACACTAGAACGAGAATAATCTACTACGGTATTCGTTGATGGTTTTTTGGATCGACGTATACACGAAGAAGGCCACCGAACGTAAGGACGGAAAGGCTTTCATACTAACAACGACGATGAGGACATTTTTCCGACGGCAATTAATGTTACCTCTCTATGTGTTTTCTAGAAATACTTTCATTGTAATTGTTCTGGTAAGCTCATCGCTGATACCCAAAGCTTTTGAATTCATCATTTTACAGTTGAGCTGGCTCGATGTAACCGTGAATTCTATACTAGCAGTTCCTTTTTACGCACTTCTCGCTTGTGGAACTCCCTTCCGGCTCCATGATTTCCAGCCATCTTTAACCTGCAAAAATTTTAATGCAATATCAATCGCTATCTACTGATTTTCTGATTACTCTTTTCTCTTTCTGTTCATTATTTTTCCTGTTCCTAATTCTTCAACATCCAGCAACTTCTTGTGTCTTAGTGGCTTTACTGCCTTGCATGGCGTGATACCAATAAAAACTAATGATAATTCCACATCCTATATATTCAAAAAAAAAAAGAAAAATTAATGTTTTCCTTTAATTAATTCAATCAAATCATTTGACTTTGATGTAAATGTCGCTTGAAGATTGATAATTCCAGACAATTGAAGCAAAATAGATTAAAAATGAAGCTGTTTTAACGTTCTGTTTATATATATATATATATATATATATATATATATATATATATATATAGTTATTTTCATCTCCTTTTACGCATGACTGTGTCGATTTTTTTCTATTTTAAAACAGAAATCCTTTTTGATTGTTCATCACATCTTCGCAATATTTCTTTTTGGCTTTCATTATTATCATCAGCAATATATTTCAATTTCTTCAGCAAAATAGATTAAAAATGAAGCTGTTTTAACGTTCTGTTTATATATATATATATGTATATATATATATATATATATATATATAGTTATTTTCATCTCCTTTTGCGCATGACTGTGTCGATTTTTCCTTTTTTTAAACAGAAATCATTTTTGATTGTTCATCACATCTTCGCAATATTTCTTTTCGGCTTTCATTATTATCATCAGCATTATATTTCAATTTTTTCTATGGTCACATGACCTACCAAGTCTTGCTGGATGACCTAAACAGGTAGCAGTGTGTTGTTATGGCTACATTTCAGGATTTTTTTTAACTCCCATAACATCACTAGCGTTACATGGAGAATCTTTTTCTTAATATTTGGGCTGTACTTATCAAGACAATTTTTTGTATTTCTCTTAAGTTTGGATTTCCTGGTATTTTTTTCAATGTGTTGTTGTGTTCCTTTTTTTATCATTTCAAGCGCACCTACTATGACTGGTACACTTCTTCTTCTTCTTCTTCTTCTTCTTCTTCTTATTATTATTATTATTATTATTATTATTATTATATTTCGATTCCTTCTATGCTTACACAACCTACCAAATCTTGCGGCACGTAGTGGTCTGTTGTTATGTCTATATTTCATGATTTGCTTTTCTAACTCCCATAAATCCACTGGCGTTACATGGACAAAGTTCTTCTTAGTGTGTGGGCTGTACTTATGAAAGCAATTTTTTTTTTGCATTTCTCTTAGGTTGGGATACCCAGTGATTTTTTTCAGCGTGTTGTTGCGTTCATTCCAAGCGCACCTACTATTGCTGGTACTATTCTATTATTGATATTATTATTATTATCATTATTAATATTATTATTATCATTATTATTATTATTTCGGTTTCTGCTATGGTCACACTACCTACCAAATCTTGCGGGAAGACCTAAGGCCGGTAGTGGTATGCTGTTATGCCTACATTTCATTATTTGTTTTTCCAGTTACCATAAAATCACAAGCGTTACATGGACAAAGTTCTCCTTAGTTTTTAGGCTGTACATATCAAAACTTTTTTTTGTCTTTCTCTTTATTATTATTATTATTATTATTATTATTATTATTATTATTTTGTACTTGTTGTTACATTGTGACATGAAGGTTGTCCAAGACACTCATCTACATTATTTTGTGCAAACGCTGGTGTCCCCCGGGCTCCAGCATTGGTCCTACGCTTCTTTTAATCTTCATTAGCGACATAGCCGATGACATCAGTTCACAGCTTGGCATCTACGCTGACGACACTAACATTTACTCCTGTCTCGATAGTAAGACTGGTCTGTCCGACAAGGTCAAAATCGCAACTGATGTCCAAATCGACATCAAGTCCGTCGTTAACTGAGGCAAAAGATGGCTGGTGAATTTTAACGCCTCCAAAAATAAACTTCTCTCCATTAATCTCTGCTTTGCATCTACATGGCTGATGCTATCCTCCAGGAAAGGGAGTCATTGCACCTCCTCTTTGTAATGTTCTCTGCTGACATCAACTGGAAAAACTATATTGAATCCATTGCTAGGTCAGCTGCTAATAAAATCGCTTCAGTTTGCCGAGTGAGAATCTATCTTGCATATGTATAAATCTACCATTATCTCGTGCTTAGAACATTGCTGCTATATATGGTTCGGTGCTCCTGCTATTTACCTGAACCTCCTTGATAAGATCCAAAGAAGGAAACTTTGGATATTCATTGATCGAACGTTTTGTGTTACTATTCAGTTAAAATTTATTAAATATTTCTAATACAAATAGACTTCTGGGGCCTTTCTGTTATTGCACTTTCGAGTATTGATAGGAGTTTCCTTTCTAACTTTTTGTTTAAGATGGTGTGGAAAGTCAACATTTTGATTTTGGGTGTGATGGGTAAATTGTTGTCTAAATAAAACCAAAGATGAAAATAACACTGACATCTCATTTTGCCTCCAGACGATTTCCGAATCTAATTCTCTTCTGGACGGTCTCCTTGTTTAATTTGGTGACTGCTGCCATAATCCTTGCCATTAGTTAATCTTTGGTGTTACAAGGGGTTTGGTTGGTCTCTCATACTAATCAAGGCGGTTGCAGTCTGGGAAGTTACGTGGCCATGTAACGGGGTGATGTGGTCACGGAATTTGTCTGACAGCCATGACTGGGTTTTCCTGCTTGTGTGACAAGGTGAAGAATCCTGTTGCCCGACATAGGGTCTTCTAGCAGCCACACGCTTGACCGAGGTCAGCGCTACCTCTTCAAGGCACTTGATGTAGGCTTCCGTGCGGAGTCTGAAGCCCTCACCGACAAATTCGGGATTATCCATTTCACGACCCGCACACTCAAGTACCAGGTATTCCCAAGTGGTCACCCATCTCGCTACTGGCCAAGCACAACTTTGCTTAACTTCGGTAATCGTATTACACATAAGAGAATACACTGATATCCATCCAGAATGGTAATGGCAAAATAGACGTTTCCATACGGGAAACAATGGACATTCATTGATCGAACACTTAGCGTTATTGTCGGTTGAAATGTAATTAAGGAAACATTCAAATCACGAGTCTTATGTTATTTGGTAAAGGTCTTTGTTTGCCATTCTGCAGAGTCAGACTATAGGATTTGATAAAGGACTGTCTTCTTTAAGTCTTATTCGCGTGAAGCCATTTTTAGGTGCTGAGCTAAGAAAACAGGTTGTATATAGCTGATAGTTTAAACTCCTGTTTGAGGCAGGAAAAAGGATGGAGCCGTTGGGGAACAAATGCTCGAGAAAGCTTCTCCGCATCTCCTACTTGGAGCACAAAACCAACGACTATGTACGGAGCAAGATCAAAAGTCTCCTGACCCGACAGGAATCTCTCCTCGACACTTTTGAGCGTCGGAAGACGTTATGGTTTGGTCGCGTCACACGACATAAAAGCCTCGGCAAGACCATCAAGCAAGACGCTGTTGAAGGCGGACGCAAGCGTGGAGCGGTAACACTGGTCAGACGACATCAAAGAGTAGACGGACATAACAGTGCAGGACCTCCTGAGGGCTATCGCCAACAGACCATCCTGGTGGAGGCTGTCTGTTTCTTCTGCTCTTAGGCATTCCCGAGGATTGAAATGGTCAAGGAAATGATGATGATGATGAGGAGGAGGCGTGGGATTACCCCTCGACGTTATTAAGCGCCAGAAATGGCATTATATGAGCACGGCACGCGGGCTAACAGCCTCTGCAGGACCATCATGTAAAAGCACTGTTGAAGGCGGACACAAGCGCAGGGGGGGGGGACGGCAAACGCTGGTCAGACAACATCATAAAGTAGACGGACATGACAATGCCAGAACTCCTGAGGGGCATCGCCAACAGATCATTCTGGAAGGGGTTTTCTAGTTCCTCTCCACTAAGGTCACAGGACGATTGAAGCAAGCAAGGAACTGATGATGATGATGATGATGATGATGATGATGATGATGATGATGATGATGATACGAGTTGGACGTCATGCATGACATCCATATGAAAGTTTAAATCTGAAGAAGTTAAGATTTGGATTGCCTTCCGACAAATATCCGGGCCTCGAAAATTAAGATGAATCGAAATCATTCCAATGGCCATTTGCTTTTCTGGGATCATCAGTCTTCGAATTTATCTTTTCTTCTTCTTTTATTTTTTTTCAAATATTTTGCAGCTATACTCCAAAATGTTTTTTTTTTTTCAAATATTTTGCAGCTATACTCCAAAATGTTTTTTTTTTTTTGCATCTAAAGTCCAAAATATTTTTTTGGTTGAAACGTACTTCGCAAAAATAACAGCTCAACATGCGAATTGCTAATTGGAGATACTAGAATCAAATGGGTAAAACAATTTAAATATCTGGGAAATATTTTAACAGAGGACGGAAAACGCTACAACTGAAATCCAAAGACGCACTGGGATAGCGAAAGATGCCTTTCAAAAGCCAAGCAAACCATTAAGAAACAGGAAAAATCGCTAAAAACAAAGAAAAGGGAATTCAATTGTTACGCAATATCAGTTCTACGATACGGTAGTGATTTGTTTTTTTTGTTTGTTTTTTTTCTTTTACGGCATATCAACCTCAATGGCTTATTTAATGCTGACAACATTTTTAGGATAGATTCGTATGAATAGAATAACTATTCTTTGGTTTAGATAGATTTGGTTTATTTTGTTTTATGGCATATCAACCTCAATGGCTTATTTAATGCCGACATTTTACTGCTGGTAGTATGTTTTGTTTTTCGGGGTTTTTTTCGAAACTCTATTACTGAGAATATTCTTCCTTGAAGAAATCTATAGCTAGTCACTTTTTTTTTTGTTTGTATTGCTGGTATTTTTTTTGTTTGTTTGTTTTTTAAAGTATTGCTGATAAGAATTTTTCCTTCAGAAATTATTGCTGGTAATAATTTTTTTATTACAAAGTATTGCTGGTATTAAAACCTATTTTTACACGAGTTTGGGTGTTAACTATTTGCCCATAGCTGGGACCCTAACAGGTGTTACCACCACGGGTCAGGTCGGACCTGGGAACGCCAGCAATTAAGAAGTGGTCCCACGCTCCTCAAAACCTCCTAATCAGAGGCCTTGCTGTTGGACGTAGTTTATCGTCTTACCCAGGACGCGGATGTAGTTTATCGTTATACCCAGGACGAGATATGGTAGTAAATGGTGAACAATCTCCTCACAGATGAATGCTGAATATATGAAGAAGAGACTTGAAGCAACAGAACTTTTTACCTGCAGAAAGATGTCGAGAATACCATGGACCAAATATGTGAGCAAAAACGAAATTTTAGAGAACATGGAAACAAAATGGAAACGTATGCTTAACATCAGGAAGACAGTTGAAATTTCTGGGGCACATCATGAGGAAAGAGGGCTTGGAACATTTAACACTCACAGGACATATTGAAAGCAAAAAGCACAGGAAATCAGTGCAAAACCTACATAACGAGTTCGGGTAAATGGTTGACAGAACATGAATAAGTATATATATATATATAGCATAAAGACAAATAATACTAATAGTACAAAGCATAGGAAATTGTGGAGAGGCATAATCGCCCAAATACAGAAGGGACATAGAACATAGAGAAAGAATGAGAGCTGTCACGTAAGTAGAGGTTCGAATCCAGGTAAAATCTTGTGTTTTCAAGTTCTCTAGTTCGCTAGGCAGGAAGGCCTTCACTTAGTCACATACATACACGGCTCTCCACATTTTCCATTTAATCGATCGTGTGCTTCACTCAGCCCAGTCGATAGCGAGAAAAGATGAAGTGGGAGAGTGATTGAGTCAGGAAAGTTGTGTCAACCTTGATAAAGACCAATCAATACTAGGCATGATTTTTGATCAGTTTATAAAAATCTAATTCCGTTCGTGTTTTTTTTTACGTTTGTTTTTTTTTTACGTTTTTTGCTCGTTTTATTATGTTGAATTATTAAATAGTTTGAATTTCTAATTTGTTAGTTCGTTGTTATTATTATTATTATTATTATCATCATCATCATCATCATTATTATTATCATCATCATCATCATTATTATTATCATCATCATTATTATCATAATCATCATCATCATTACTATTATTATCATCATCATTATTATCATTATCATCATCATCATCATCATTATTATTATTATCATTATTATCATCATCATCGTCATTATTATTATCATCATCATCATTATTATTATTATTATTATTATCATCATCATTATTATCATTATTATTATTATCATCATCATCATCATCATCATTATTATTATTATTATTATTATTATTATTATTATTATTATTATTATTTCTCCTTTTTATTCGTTTCTCGTCGTTTTTCGTCTGTCTTCGTATAACACCGGCCCTTATCGTATTTTCATCCTTTCAGTCTTGTTCATATTTTCTTTCTTTTTACATTTTCTATCTTTTTTTTATTCCCTTTACACTCTTTCCTTCTTTATTTTTTCTTTCTTTATTTCTTTGTCTTTCATTATTTCTTTCTTTTTACATTGTCTTTTTTCACCCGTTCTCTTCTTTTTCCCTTCTTCCTTCCTTCCTTCCTTCCTTCCTTCCTTCCTTCCTTCCTTCCTTCCTTTTCCTTCCTTCCTTCCTCTTTCCTTCCTTCCTTCCTTTTTTCTTTCTTTCTTTCTTTCTTTCGTTATTTATTTATTCATTTGTCATACATTGTCTCTAACGATTCTTCTATTTTCTCCTTTCTTTCTTATGACATTGTCATTTTTTTTCAGTTTTAATTTCTTTTTTTGTACCTTTCTTTCTTTCTTTCTTTCTTTCTTTATTTGTTATTACATTGTCTCTAATGTTTCTCCCCTTTTATTCTTTCTTATTATAATTTTTCCTTTTACCTTCGTTCGTTCTTCGTTTCTTTCTTTCTTTTTTCTTTCTTTCTTTCTTTCTTTCTTATTACATTGTCTCTAATTTTTCTACCTTTTTCTTCTTTCTTTCTCACTTTCTTTCTTATTACATAGTCTCAAATTTTTCTTCTTTTTTCATTCTTTTTTCTTTATTATTTTATTGTCTCGAATTTTTCTTCAATTTTCTTCTTTCTTTCTTTCTTTCTTTCTTTCTTTCTTTCTTTCTTTCTTTCTTTCTTATTACATTCTCCCTAATTTAGAATCCTTTTTCTTCTTTCTCCCTTTCTATTTTTCTTTCTTTTTTATTTTATTGTCTCTAATTTTTCTTCCATTTTCTTCTTTCTTTCTCCCTTCGTGCTTATAATGGCGCTTATATTTCTTCCTTTCTTTTTCTTCTTTCTCTCTTTCCTATTTTTCCTTACATTTTTTTTTCTTTTCTCAGTCTTAGTTTCTTCGTCACTTTCTTTATTTATAACTGATTTTTCTTTTATTTCAGTGGAACGCAATTACTCCGCCATTATGTTTCTCATTTTTCTTCCATAGTTTTTGAAAAATAGGGGAAAAAACGATTAAACAAAAAGTATATACGTAAATACTAAATATTTATTTTTAATTTTTTCTCGTTTTTTTTTTTTTTTCATTTTTTCCTCGATTTACAAAATCGTCTGCTATTACTCATTTTTCCCTTTTCTCGCCCTGACAAAAATTTTATAGATTTCGTTTCGTTTCTTCTTCACCTTCTTTTCTACGTTTTCTATGAACTGAAATACGAATTTCGCATTAATTAAGTAAATTATTGTCATAATTATTCCACCGAATGTTATATTTATGACAAATTACAGAACAAAAGTAATTTGATTTTTCTGCCGACTTTGTCTTTCTCATTTATTCTTTACGTCTATGCGTTTTATGAACTTCAGAGAAATTCGGTTAATTCAATTGATTCAATGCCTTTATTTTATAACAAGAAAAGCAGGAAAAGCTTTGTATTAAACTCTTTAGAAAATAGAATTGACTCTCGTACAGGAAGTCATCAATTCTTTGCTGTTTAGAAAGATTTAAAGAAATAACAACAAAACCATAAGAGAATATTAGATTCTAAAGTAGATGTGACAGAGGAAAATAGATGTAATGGGAGTGATATATATATATATATATATATACTTTAGGATATTACATCGAAAACATATCAAAATCGCTACACAATTGCAGTCGTGTTTTGATGCGTATCTCAACAGGCGATTGTAAATTTACAATCGCCTGATGAGGCGTGGATACGCATCGAAACACGACTACAATGTGTAGAGACTTTGATTGTTTTTAATGTAATGTTCTCTAGTGCTCTTCTTTTAAACTAAATGTTACGAACATTGGAATTGTACTCTATTATTTCTCATGCCTGTGTCTATATATATATATATATATATATATATATATATATATATATATATATATCGAGAGAGAGTATTTACTATTACTGAAAGATATTTTGGGTGCGTAGTTTCTTTGTTTCCAGGGTCCTTCAGTTACTCCTATATATATTTTTCTTCGTTATCTGATGCTTTTACCGTGGCTTGGTATATTAAATTGTTTTGTATGCAATTGCAGCTTAAGAGACATTCGTTCTTTATTCTGCAGTCACACATGAGTTTAATTTGTTCGGCTGGTTTGTAGATCTTTTACAAATAGTAAATATGCGAACAGTACAATGTTTTCTAAGTGTATCTGAGAAATTAAAACCAAATCACACCAAAAATATTATGGACAATAAGGATAAGAACATCTGCCTATAACAGTCAATCCAAAAAATGCAAACTCTGCTTGGAGGGAATAATGGCTATAATTACCTTCCCAGACCAAAACAAACTAATTAATAAACGATCAGAAATCATCTGAAAATGCAGACACGAAAACAATTTTTTACTACATTACTTAAAAATCTAAAACTGAAAAGAATAAATAATATATAAATGAATAAACAAAAACAAGTGAAAAAACTTAATCCAAATCAATAAATAAATCAATAAATAAAGCAAATAATAAACAAATTAACAAATTACTCCCGCCAAAATAAGAAGTTCTTTCTTTCTTATTATATTGTCAATATCTTCCTTTTTAATTTAGTTTTTTACCTTTCTTTTTTCTTCTTTCTTATTGACCCGTATATAGTGTAGAAAAAATACAATGCACGTGGCCTAATGACTGTGTCTAGCATGAAACAGTTTGTCGCTTCAATGTCCACTTATATATATCGGACATTATTTTTCGGACAATCTAATACTATTTTCCAGTCTATACACAGGATGCGTCACGTATTTGAGAACAACATTCTGAAAGTGATTGATATAAAATTCACCAAAAGAACATTTTAATCATTCAGAATAGGTAATATATTTTTATGCAGCTATTATAATAATATATGAGAATACAATTAAAATGTTTATTCGAAAATCGGACATTATTTTCCGGACAATCTAATACTATTTTCCAGTCTATACACAGGATGCGTCACGTATTTGAGAACAACATTCTGAAAGTGATTGATATAAAATTAACCAAAATAACATTTTAATCATTAAGAATAGGTAATATATTTTGTGCAGCTATTATAATAATATATGAGAATACAATTAAAATGTTTATTCGAAAATCGGACATTATTTTCCGGACAATCTAATACTATTTTCCAGTCTATACACAGGATGCGTCACGTATTTGAGAACAACATTCTGAAAGTGATTGATATAAAATTAACCAAAATAACATTTTAATCATTAAGAATAGGTAATATATTTTTGTGCAGCTATTATAATAATATATGAGAATACAATTAAAAGGTTTATTCGAAAATCGGACATTATTTTCCGGACAATCTAATACTATTTTCCAGTCTATACACAGGATGCGTCACGTATTTGAGAACAACATTCTGAAAGTGTTTGATATAAAATTAATCAAAAGAACATTTTAATCATTAAGAATAGGTAATATATTTTTGTGCAGCTATTATAATAATATATGAGAATACAATTAAAAGATTTATTCGAAAATCGGACATTATTTTCCAGACAATCTAATACTATTTTCCAGTCTATACACAGGATGCGTCACGTATTTGAGAACAACATTCTGAAAGTGATTGATATAAAATTAACCAAAAGAACATTTTAATCATTAAGAATAGGTAATATATTTTTGTGCAGCTATTATAATAATATATGAGGATACAATTAAAGCGGTTATTCTAAACTCGGACATTATTTTCCGAATAATATAATATAAATCCTGAAGTGTTTATGACCTGGTAGAGGGTCTTTGTACACGCCTCCGTTGCTCCCATGGTTTGGGTGGAATAAGATTCCATGAAGATTTTTTACGTCGATCTAATCAAGAGTACGTGTATGTATTTTAGGGCCGTCTTCAAATATTTCATGTTCTCGCGAGGATATGAAGGACTATACCATTCACTTCCCGGGTCAAGAGTATATATCGCAAGTTTACCTAAGTCAACTTCCAGTTATATGCTAGTGTAGCATCCCTCCTCATTTGAGGCACCTGGTAACCATGAAGCAACCTGCTAGGTCAACCCTCTGAGGCACATAGCTCTTTTAATATTCTGATGTGACACCGGACACAAAACTTTATTTGGTATGGCTTAGGGGGAATCCAATATGTTCTTAGGTCACTATTGATCAACACCACTTAGGATCGATAAAAGGTTCCTCATTAACATTAAATGCAATTCAGATTTATAATTATTGGCGTGAATTGCATCCTGCAATATGACGGAACTTCGGACTTTTGTACCGTTTCTGTTGATTTACTACTCTATCACTTTAGTCTGGCAATGATAATTGTAATATTAGTTATTTCCATATAAGGAAACATTCATTGAGAGAGCAGCCTCTGCCAACGTCGGTTGAAATTTATTAGATCTTTCTCTTGGAACAATTTTTCCTGAAAATAGATTTTTTTTTTAAATCTAATAGCTGTTATCGATCTTTCCACTACTGAATTTTTCCGGAAAATAGATTTTTTTTCAAATCCAATTGCTGTTAGCGATCTTTCCACTACTGAATTTTTCCAGAAAATAATTTTTTTTCTCAAATCCAATAGCTGTTATCGATCTTTCCACTTCTGAATTTTTCCGGAAAATAATTTTTTTCTCAAATCCAATAGCTGTTATCGATCTTTCCACTTCTGAATATTTCTGGAAAATAGATTTTTTTCAAATCCAATAGCTGTTATCAATCTTTCCACTACTGAATATTTCTGGAAAATAGATTTTTTTCAAATCCAATAGCTGTTATCGATCTTTCCACTACTGAATTTTTCCAGAAAATAATTTTTTTTCTCAAATCCAATAGCTGTTATCGATCTTTCCACTTCTGAATTTTTCCGGAAAATAATTTTTTTCTCAAATCCAATAGCTGTTATCGATTTTTCCACTACTAAATTTTTCCGTAAAATAGTTTTTTTTCAAATCCAATAGCTGTTATCAATCTTTCCACTATGCCGTAAAATAAAACAAGCCAAACCAATAGATAGATAGATAGATAGATAGATAGATAGATAGATAGATAAAAAATAGTACCAGCAATAAAAATTTTGTTGCCATTATATGACCTATTATGGTTCATATGCCGTAAAATAAAACAAACCAAACTAATAGATAGATAGATAGATAGATAGATAGATAGATAGATAGATAGATAGATAGATAAAAAAATATTACCAGCAATAAAAATTTTTTCGGCATTAAATGACCTATTGAGGTTGATATGCCGTAAAATAAAACAAGCCAAACCAATAGATAGATAGATAGATAGATAGTAATAGAAATTTTGTCGGCATTAAATGACCTATTGAGGTTGATATGCCGTAAAATAAAACAAGCCAAACCAATAGATAGATAGATAGATAGATAGATAGATAGATAGATAGATAGATAGATAGATAGATAAAAAAAAAAATTGCCAGCAATAAAAAAAAATTGTAGGCATTAAATAACCTAGTGAGGTTGATATGCCGTAAAATCAAACAACCCAAACCAATATATACTGAGATAGATAGATAAATATATATATATATATATATATAGATAGATAGATAGATAGATAGATAGATAAAAAATAGTACCAGCAATAAAAATTTTGTTGCCATTATATGACCTATTAAGGTTGATATGCCGTAAAATAAAACAAGCCAAACCAATAGATAGATAGATAGATAGATAGATAGATAGATAGATACAAAAAAATATTACCAGCAATAAAAAATTTTGTCGGCATTAAATAACCCATTGCAGTTGATATGCCGTAAGACAAAACAAACCAAACCAAACCTTAATAATGTTCCTCTTTTTTTATTATCACTTATTATCATTTTCTTATCACCCTGAGTAAACCTTTGAGTTTTAGTGACTTTATTACCTTGCATGGAGGGATAAAATAATAAAAAAACAGAGCGACAACAAGTACAACAGAATATGGGCAGTAAAAAAAAGTAAACATCTACAAAGGATAGGAAATTGTGGAGGGCTG